AGCTCCCTGCTTGAGTGGTGATGGCATGATCATCAGCATAGATGAAACTCTCTGTCCCTTCTGGCAGTGGCTGATCGTTTGTATAAATGTTAAACACTGGTGGAGCAAGCACGCAGGCCGTTCTTCTGTCGGGCTGTATAAGGAACTATAATGCATTTAATGAAATTAGCTTCTTAGAGCTGGGAAACGGATATAAGGAAAACTGAATCATAGAATCAGAGTTGGAAGAGACCTGGTGGGCCATCCAGTCCAACCCCATTCTGCCAAGAAGCAGGAAAATTGCATTCAAAGCACCCCTGACAGATGGCCATCCACCCTCTACTTCAAAGCCTCCAAAGAAGGAGCCTCCACCACACTTCGGGGCAGAGAGTTCCAGTGCTGAACAGCGTTCACAGTCAGGAAATTCTTCCTAATGTTCGGGTTGAATCCTGTAGTTTGAATATATATGTATAGAACTATAAGGGCTTATAGATAATATCATTATATTATGCTATATCATTATAATATATCACTATTATTTTATATTCTTATATATTATTATTATTATTATTATTATTATTTATATTATTGTTGTTATTTATATCATTATGTTATATGAGGAGCCTTCTAATCAAGGTGAAAGAAGAAAGCGCAAAAGCTGGGTTGCAGCTAAACATAAAAAAAACCAAGATTATGGCAACAAGAATGATTGACAACTGGAAAATAGAGGGAGAAAATGTGGAGGCCGTGACAGACTTTGTATTTCTAGGCGCAAAGATGACTGCAGATGCAGACTGTGTCCAGGAAATCAGGAGACGCTTCCTTCTTGGGAGGAGAGCAATGTCCAGTCTCGATAAAATAGTAAAGAGTAGAGACATCAGACTGGCAACCAAGATCCGCCTAGTCAAAGCAATGATATTTCCTGTAATAACCTACGGATGCGAGAGTTGGACCATAAGGAAGGCTGAGCGAAAGAAGATAGACGCTTTTGAACTGTTGTATTGTAGGAAAATTCTGAGAGTGCCTTGGACTGTGAGAAGATCAAACCAGTCCATATTTCAGGAAATAAATCCCGACTGCTCATTGGAGGGAAGGATATTAGAGGCAAAGATGGAGTACTTTGGCCACATAATGAGAAGACAGGAAAGCCTGGAGAATATAATCATGCTGGGGAAAATGGAAGGAAAAAAGGAAGAGGGGCCGACCAAGGGCAAGATGGATGGATGGCATCCTTGAAGTGACTGGCTTGACTCTGAGGAAGCTGGGGATGGCTGACAGGGAGCTCTGGCGTGGGCTGGTCCATGAGGTCACAAAGAGTCGGAGACAACTGAACGAATGAACAGCAGTTATATACTATTATTCTATATCATTGTTATACATTATATATATTATTTTACATCATTATGATATATTACTATGATTAGATGTTATCATTATTTTATATCATTATTTTATATCATTATATATATTTACACATTCTTATATATTACTTTGTATTATCATTATTATATATAATTTTTATTTTATACCATTATAATATATATCCCCATGATATTATTATATTATTATTATAATATATTATTACTTTATATCATAATTATTAGATATTATATATTATGTTATATCATAATGTTACAATTCTTATATTATTTTATAGTATTATTATAACTATAATATATCACTGGTATTTTATATCATTATCATAATATATTATTTTATCACAATTTTTAAAATTATTTTTAGATATTATTATTATTTTATATAATGTTGTTTTTGCTGTTGTAACCCAAATAATCACATAGTGTTTTAATCTGAGAAACACCCATCTAATAGTTGACAAAGTTCGCCACCTGGTGGACATGGCCTGTACTGCACATGGCTTTTTTTGTTCAGTCACTTCATGCAGGGGGAAAAAAATCAAAGCACCCCCGACAGATGGCCACCCAGCCCTATGATATTATTGTTGTTGTTGTTGTTGTTAATAATAATAATAAAATAATAATAATAATAATAATAATAATAATAACTGGTCTAGATGGTCTTTAGAGACCCCTTGCATCTCTATTATTATTATTATTATTATTATTATTATTATTAATAATAATAATAATAATAATAATAATAATAATAATAATAATAATAATAATATAAGATGCAAGGGGCCTCTAAAGACCATCTAGACCAGTGGTTCTCAACCTGGGGTCCCCAAATGTTTTTGGCCTTCAACTCCCAGAAATCCTAACAGCTGGTAAACTGGCTTGGATTTCTGGGAGTTGTAGCCCAAAAACATCTGGGGACCCAAGGTTGAGAACCACTGATCTAGACCATGGTCCTTCATTATGCCTTCATGCAGGGGAAAACACAATCAAAGCACCCCTGATAGATGGCCACCCAGCCTTAATAATTTGACCAAATTGGGGGAAGGAGGTTCTGTGTTTGACAACAATTGCATAATACATGAATACATTATAATACATTATATATATATATATATATATGCATAAAATACACAGCATAAAATAGTATAATTGCATAATATATAAGAGCATAAAGTATGTATAGTCTCTCCCAACCTATTCAACTTGTATACAGAACACATCATGCGATGTGCGGGGCTTGACAAATGCAAGGCTGGGGTAAAAATTGCTGAAGAAGCATTAACAACCTTAGATATGCAGATGACACCACTTTGATGGCTGAAAGCGAGGAGGAGCTGAAGAGCCTTCTAATCGAGGTGAAAAAAGAAAGCACAAAAGCTGGGTTGCAGCTAAACATAAAAAAACCAAGATTATGGCAACAAGAATGATTGACAACTGGAAAATAGAGGGAGAAAATGTGGACTCAGTCACAGACTTTGTATTTCTAGGTTCAGATGCAAACCGCAGCCAAGAAATCAGGAGACGCTTACTTCTTGGGAGCAATGACCAATCTCTGAAGAGTAGAGACATCACACTGGCAATGAAGATCCGCATAAAGCCATGGTATTCCCTGTAGTCACCTACGGATGTGAGAGCTGGACCTTAGGGAAGGCTGCTTTTGAGCTGTGGTGTTGGAGGAAAGTTCTGAGAGTGCCTTGGACTGCGAGAAGATCCTCCAGGAAATAAAGCCCGACTGCTCACTGGAGGGGATACTAGAGCAAAGTTGAAGTACTTTGGCCACATCATGAGAGACAGGAAAGCTTAGAGAAGACAATATATGCTGGGGAAATGGAAGGAAAAAGGAAGAGGGGCGACCAAGGGCAAGATGGATGGATGGCATCCTTGAAGTGACTGGACTGACCTTGAAGGAGCTGGGGGTGGTGATGGCCGACAGGGAGCTCTGGCGTGGGCTGGTCCATGAGGTCACGAAGAGTCGCAAGCGACTGAACGGATGAACAACAGTTTATAATGTGTCTCTCTCGCTCTCTCTCCCCCTCTGTGTATATATATAATAGTTGTCCCCTGCCACATGTTGCTGTGGCCTGTTCTGGTGATCTGGAAAATAAAGTAACTACAACTCCCAGATGTCAAGGTCTATTTTCCCCAAACTCCATCTTTGTTCACATTTGGGCATATGGAATATATATGTGCCAAGTTTGGTCCAGATCCATCATTGTTTGAGTCCACAGTGCTATCTGGATGGAGGTGAACTGAAACTCCCAAACTCAAGGTCAGTGCCCACCAAACTCTTCTGTGTGCCAAGTTTGGTTCGGTTTCATTGTTGGCTGGGTTCACAATGCTCTTTGATTGTAGGTGAACTAATTCCAGCAACTACAACTCCCAAATGTCAAGGTCTATTTTCCCCAAACTCCACCAGTGTTCACATTTGGGCATATTGAGTATCCATGCCAAGTTTGGTCCGGATCCATCATTGTTTGAATCCACAGTGCTATTGATGAGGAGATATTGGAAAGATAGATATTTATTGATTGATTTATACCTAAAAATCATATGTACTTTAAATGTATAGAAAAATCTAGTTCCCTCTGTGTATAGAAAGAATGCTAACGGACAAGCAAACTGCTTGTCTTCAGAAGGGGCTGAAGAGGGAGGGGTGACATTCCAGGGAAGAGAGATAAGCCTGTCCGAGAAGCCCATGATAGGAGCAACGGACTTGTACTAAGGAGGACCTCTTGACGGGTCAGAGAGGGCCCCTTTGATGGATGCAAGCTGCTCCTAGAAATACACAGACATGCTTTTTCGTATGTTGGAGGGGGACACTTGATATTTCTGTGACGCCAGGATGACGTAGGGATGATGATGATTGTATGTTGTAGCATGTTCTTTGTTTTCTTGAAACTGGAAACTATAAAAGCCACAGTCTGTGCCTATTTCATTTGCTCTGGTGTTTTTGAGAGTTGACTCCACACCAGGCCCAAGCTGGTAAATAAAATCCGTGCTTTTGAGATCTTCAGACCTCTCTTTGTCTCCTTTCCTGAAACCTTTTCCCTGCCATTTCACTATCTGGATGGAGGTGAACTACAACTCCAAAACTGAAGGTCAATGCCCACTAAACCATTCTAGTGTTTTCTGTTGTTCATGGGAGTTCTGTGTGTCACCTTTGGTTCAATTCAATCATTGGTGGAGTCCAGAATGCTCTTTGATTATAGGTGAACTATAAATCCCAGCAACTACAACTCCCAAATGACAAAATCATAATTTTTTTGAGTGATGGTCACTCCTTGTGTTGTGAGACGTTTTGTTGCCAAATTTGGTGTGATTTCATTCATTGGTTCTTTTGTTTTTAAGGTACTCATTATGCACAGAGCATTTTAGATAGATAGATAGATAGATAGATAGATAGATAGATAGATAGATAGATAGATAGATAGATAGATAGATAGATAGATAGATAGATAGATAGATAGATAGATAGATAGATAGATATATGAAACATACAGACTCTGTGCTACCCTAGCATTGTGAGCCCAGGCAGGGGAACCTTTCTGCCCCGGAACTGTCCCCGCGGGGCCGCTGCGTGCCGGGTGTGACGGGGAGCACTTTGAGGGCCGGACCGAACCGGGCCGCACTTCCGGTCGGGCAAGATGGCGGCCGGGAGCGGTCCTCCCACGCCGGAGCTGCCTCGCGGGCGGAGGCTGGTGTGCGTGGAATACCCGGGCGTCGTGCGCGACCCTGAGAAGGCGCTGCTCTCTCTCGGAGGGGAGGAAGCCCTCACGCGGGTCAGGAAAAGGAGGAAGAGGCTCTCTCTCTCTCTCTCTCTCTGCGCATGCGCACAACCCTCCCAGGCTACCCTGTAGTGTATGGAGAGGTGCTTTGCGCATGCTCAGAATCCTCCAAACAGAGAGTGGGATCATGTAGTATATTGAATTGCATCGCATTGTATTATGGTCGGGGCTTCTTCTATTATATTGCATTATATATTACTAGGCTTATTTGGGAAAGGCATTGTTTGTCTGTGCTCCAAATTGAGTCTAAATCTAATGTCAGGTGGGTTCAATGGATGTGGGTGAACTATACTCCCATTTGGAAGTCCCATTCTCCTCCAAACTGCACCAGGATGTAGAATGGGTCATGGGGGCTCTGTGTGCCAAGTTTGGTCTTGATCAGTCATTATATGAGGGTCACAGTGGTCTCAGAAGTGAGTGAAGGTACTGCAAGTCCCATCATCCATGGTCCATCCTCCTCCAAACTGCACCAGGATGTAGAGTGGGTCATGGGGGCTCTGTGTGCCAAGTTTGGTCTTGATCAGTCATTGGATGAGGGTCGCAGTGGTCTCAGGAAGTGAGTGAAGGTACTGCAAGTCCCATCATCCAGGCAATGGGACTTTCAGTTCCTTCATTCACTTTCTGAGACCATTGTGACCTTTATCCAATTACCGATAAAGACCAAACTTGGCACACAGAGCCCCCATGACCCACTCTACATCCTGGTACATATTATATTATGGTCAGGGCTTCTATGAGAACCCTAATATATTATTAATATTACATTTTTGCAGAAGGGCTTATTTGAGAGCCATACCCAAATAATACAATAAAAGATAATACAATATAAATACAATACAATAAATATTATAATATAACAATATACTATATATTATGGTTAAGGTTTACTTTTGCAGTAAGGCTTTTATGAGTGCCCTACCCCAAATAATTTAATACAATAATATATATTATCTTATATTATGGCTAGGGATTACTTTTGCAGAAGGGCTTATATGCCAGCCTTACCCCAAACGTTTTGTATTGCATTGTATTATATTACGGTTAGGCCGTCTTAGTAATGCTTCCCTGTTTCCTCCTTTTTTGCAGGTGTACGCGGACCCCAGTCGGCGTCTGGAGCTGTATTTCCGCCCGAAGGACCCTTATTGCCACCCGGTTTGTGCCAACCGCTTCCCTGCCTCCTCCATGTTGCTGCGAGTGAGGAGAAGAACCCGTCGGAAGCAGGCAGGAGTGGGTGGACAGCGGGTAGAGGAAGCGGTCTCCATCCAGGTGGAAGTCCTTGGCATCGTCAGCACCGTCTACAAGTTCCAAGGCAAGCTTTGTGCCCCCCCCATTTCCCCATTTCCCCATTCAGCAACACACACACTGTAGCCCAGGCAGTTAAGAATTGTGGGAGTTGAAGTCCAAAACACCTGTTGTTGCACACCACGGCTGGAGATGGCACCCTTGAACCCGTAATCACGCCAATGTTCTTTGTAAGCAGAGCAGTTTATTTAAGATTATTATAGCAATAGCCCAAAAAAGTAAAAAGAATTCAAACAAGTTATAATGAAATGTCCACAAAACAGTCAGTTGATCATTGTAAGAATATCCAGTCAAATCTCAGTCAGGAAACAGGAAGGTCCCAAAGTCCAATAAACAAGTCCACAGGAGTTACGAATCTTTCAGTCCCAAAAGGTTGCAAAAAACCAAAGTCCCTTGAAGGAACAGAAGCAAACTTGAACTAATAAATTCAAATGCAAGAGCTTTAAAGACAAACAGCATACAAGAATCTCAGCATGAACATGGATTCCAGGCAGAAGTACACAGGAATCTCAGCATGAACAGGAAGGCATGGATACCAGGCATGAAGCAAAATACATGGTTGTACATGAAAACCAAACGTTGGACTTGCTGAAGACTATAGATTCATAGGCTCTATATTTATTCAGAAAGCCATAGCAAAAGCATTCCATTTCCCTTGGGAAACCTCTCCCTGACGCCTCTTTTCTCTCAATCTTTTGGAGCACCTCCTCCAAATTCCAGGTGGCAATCCTGATAAATCTGGCCTCTTTGGTCAAAGCCTGACTCCCTTGGTTTGCTAATTAGTACATTCCTTTCGCTATCACTCTTTGGCCTTGACTGTTCAACCTTTTCCTTGGCCTCTTGTTTCTGCCTGCACTGAAGCATCTTTGCCTTGTGAACTAACTATCCTAGAATCCTCAGGTTCACTCTGGCTAACTGTACTCTCTTGACCATCATCTCCATTCACAAACCCCTGAGAATCAGCAGAAATCAGATCATTTAACTCAAACATTGAAACTTCTGCAGACTCATGATCATTCTCCTCTGAAGCCTGAGGCAAAGACACACTCACAGGCTGAGTCCCTACACCTGGAGGGCTGGTTTTCCCATGCTTGTGGTAGCCTCACTCTTCTTTCCAAGAAACCTGGGTGTTGTTTGCTGACATTTTTCAAGTGTTAGATGCAAGGAATGCTGTGGATGGTGCCGATCTCGGCTTCAAAACCCTTTCACAAGGTCCCCATGATCCAAGCCTTATGAGGAGCGGCTTAAGGAGCTGGGCATGTTTAGCCTGAAGAAGAGAAGGCTGAGAGGAGATATGATAGCCATGTATAAATATGTGAGAGGAAGCCACAGGGAGGAGGGAGCAAGCCTGTTTTCTGCTTCCTTGGAGACTAGGACGCAATGGAACAATGGCTTCAAACTACAAGAGAGGAGATTCCATCTGAACATGAGGAAGAACTTCCTGACTGTGAGAGCCGTTCAGCAGTGGAACTCTCTGCCCCGGAGGCTCCTTCTTTGGAAGCTTTTAAACAGAGGCTGGATGGCCATCTGTCAGGGGTGATTTGAATGCAATATTCCTGCTTCTTGGCAGGGGGTTGGACTGGATGGCCCATGAGGTCTCTTCCAACTCTTTGATTCTATGATTCTATGAACAAAGTAGTCAAATGTAGGCTGAACAATACTGCTTTTAGGTCCATTTGTCATTGGTTGAGCAAGCAAACCCAAAGGGAGCTCTCTTAAATGATTCTTATGATTATTGTTGTTGTGGTGGTGATGATGATAATAATAATAATAATAGCAGCAGAGGCTGGATGGCCATTTGTTGGGAGGGGGGATTAGATTGTTCTTTCCCTTTGTGGCTGGACTGGATACCCTTTGGGGGTCCCTTCCCAATCTGTGAGGCTATGAGTCAATAATAGTAGTAATAGTAATAATAATAACAATAACAATAATAATAATGTCCTTTGGGGGTCCCTTCCCATTTTTCTGTGAGGCTGAGTCAATAATAATAATAATAATAATAATAATAATAATAATAATAATAATTGTAGTAATAATATTTATTTTATTTATTTATATTCTGCCCTTCTCACCCCGCAGGAGACTCAGGGCGGATTACAATGCACACATTTATGGCAAACATTCAATACTAAAGACACACAACAGATATAGACAAACAGTCAGAGGCTATTTAACTTTTTTGGCTGCCAGGGGAGCTGTTGCTTTCATCGTCCATCTGCAACACTGATCAAGTATTTCCGCATTCCCTGCATGCTTTTGCTGGAGTGCTTTGCTGGAGTCTTTTTTATGGCCTCATAAATTAGTTAAATTAGCCTCCTCACACATAGGTGGTACCTAATTTTCCTATTTGACAGATGTTTCGGGTTGCAAAGATCGACAACAAGCTCCACAATAATAATAGTAGTAGTTGTAATACTAATAATGCCCTTTGGGGGTCCCTTCCCACTCTTCTGGGAGGCTATGAGTCAATAATAATAATAATAATAATAATGGACCATATCCTCAGTTGTTGCAAGAAAATCGCACTTGGATGTGCGCACATCATTTGAAAATACATCACACAGTCCTAGATGCTTGGGAAGTGTTCGACTTGTGATTTTGTGATACGAAATCCAGCATAGAGATCTCGTTCGCTGTGACATACTGTGTTTTTGTATCAGTAAAAATGTTCTTTGGGGGTTCCTTCCCACTCTTCTCTGAGGCTGTGAGTCTATAATAATAGTAATAATAACAATAGTAGTAGTAGTAATAGTACTATCAATGTCCTTTAGGGGTCCCTTCCTTCTCTTCTGTGGGGCTATGAGTCTATAATACTTAATAATCAAATGTCCTTTGGGGGTCCCTTTTGCTTCCCGTTGCAGGGATGTCGGACTTCCAGTTCCTAGCGGCGCAGTCGTGTCCGGGAGGCGCCCCACGGTCCCTGTATGACCGAGTGCGCCTGCTGCAGCCAGAGAAGGAGGCCTTCTTCATGGGCCGCCTGCCGCTCTACATCCCGCCCCCCATCTTCTCTCGCCTGTTATCGTTGGAAACAGTTTCATTTTGATACACAGCACCGGTCAGTCTGGATAGTAGCGGTGTGCAAAATAATTATAGTATTATAATAATATAATAATAGCAACAGAATATATTACACTATGTAACACAATTTGGGGAAAAAAATCTGTTCCTGTTTTGCAAGTGTTATTTCCTGTTTAATTGTGCGGTTCTTAATTGGAAAGTAGTTTTCATCCTCTAGAAACTAGGTGGCATTGGTTGCAACTCTTATGAATCATAGAATCAAAGAGTTGGAAGAGACCTCATGGGCCATCCAGTCCAACCCTGCCAAGAAGCAGGAATGTTGCATTCAAATCACCCCTGACAGATGGCCATCCAGCCTCTGTTTAAAAGCCTCCAAAGAAGGAGCCTCCACCACACTCCGGGGCAGAGAGTTCCACTGCTGAACAGCTCTCACAGTCAATTCTTCCTCGTGTTCAGATGGAATCTCCTCTCTTGTAGTTTGAAGCCATTGTTCCGTGTCCTAGTCTCCAGGGAAGCAGAAAACAAGCTTGCTCCCTCCTCCCTGTGGCTTCCTCTCACATATTTATACATGGCTATCATATCTCCTCTCAGCCTTCTCTTTCAGGCTAAACATGCCCAGCTCCTTAAGCCGCTCCTCATAGGGCTTGTTCTCCAGACCCTTGATCATTTTAGTCGCTCTCTTCTGGACACATTCCAGCTTGTCAATATCTCTCTTGAATTGTGGTGCCCAGAATTGGACACAATATTCCAGGTGTGGTCTAACCAAAGCGGAATAGAGGGGTAGCATGACTTCCCTAGATCTAGATGAAAGATTCATTGGAAAACTAGAGCAAAATGTGCTGCGGGTAAAACCAATACCATACGTTTTAAAACCTGAGAAACGTACAAGCCTTTAAATAGATTTATTTATATCCTGCTTTATCTCTCCGTACAGAGACTCAAAGCAGCTCACAATTAAAAACATTACAATACAACTTCAAATATACAAATATCTTATATAAATAAAAATGTAATGTTCGTTTGTGCAACTCACAGAACTCAAAGACCACTGGGGAATTGACACCAAATTTGGACACTATGTCCCTAATAACCCAATGTATGTTCTCCACGCAAAAAACAAAAAGCAGAAAGGACTTCTAAACTGCATGTCTACAGAGACCCATGGCTATGCCCCCCTCCTCCCAGGGAAACAGCTGCCGTTAAAGCCAGGCGCACGTGCACAGCCACACACTCAAGGTCAATGTCCACCAAACCCTTCCAGTTTTTTCTGTTGGTCATGGGAGCCCTGTGTGCTAAGTTTGGCCCAATTCCATCATTGGTGGAGTTCAGAATGCTCTTTGATTGTAGGTAAACTATAAATCCCAGCAATGACAATTCCCAAATGACAAAATCAATTTTTTTGAGTGGAGGACATAAATTGGTCTGTTAGGTGTCTTGTGTCCAAATTTGGTGTCAATTCCCCCAGTGGTTTTTGAGTTCTGATGGTAGCACGAACTAACATTACATTTTTATTTATATAGATATCACAACACATATAATGTACCACCAGTATATTATACTGTTAGTCTTACGTAATATATTGCATTATATCATAACTTATATTAACGCAAGTCAAAAGGAATGGTTAAAACCCAATTTGTAGCTGAACTTCCCTCTGTCTTGACATCGTGGAGTGCGTTCCCACATCCAAAATAATAAAGATTTCGGACTGTGTTGTGCTAAGAAAGGCCTTGCGAGGTGTGTCACCCGAGTATCCTTGTTGACTCTGTTGTAGGGAAGGCTACCACCACCCGCTGCTGTCCAGCGAGAACCTGATTGGCTTGAGCCGGGCTCGCCGGCCACACAACGCCATCTTCGTCACCTTTGAGGAGGAAGAGGTCCCCACGAAGCCCCTGGAGGCCGCTCAACAGACCTGGAGGAGGGTCTGCAGCAACACCCTGGACCACCGGGCCGAGGAGGAGCTCCAGAAAGTAAGTGCAACAACATAACACCAACAATAATGATGCCAACGTACATCAATAAAACTATATCAATATATCAGTAAATGTATAGATGAAATAATACAATTTATATATATAATAAAAATATATCAGTAAAATATATCAATAAATATACAGATTAAATAATGCAATTTACATATAATAAAATATATCAATATATAAGTAAATATATCGATAAAATACAAATAATATATAATAAAATATATCAATAAAATATATCAATATATGTCAATAACATAACATTATATTTAATTAAATATATAAATATATAAGTAAATATATCAATACAATAATACTATATATAATAAAATAAAAAATACATTATAATGGATGTGCAAAACCACATATATATATATATATACACACACAAAATACATAGACTGGGCCACAGCAAAGCATGGCAGGGGACAGCTAGTAAAAAATAAATAATATTGCACTAACATACAATTTATGTGTAATAAAAATACCAGAATGTATCAATATATAAGTAAATATATCAATAACATACAAATTATATAATAAAATATATAAATAAATTATATTAATAAATGTATAGATAAAATAATACAATTTACATAAAATATATCAACATATAAGTAAATATATCAATAACATACAAAGTATATATATAATAAAATATATCAGTAAAATATATCAATACATATATAGATTGTAATATTGTACATTGTAATATTTTATCAGTATAATTATATATAGATACATTTTAATGATATAGAAATTATGGGTACATTTTATTATATGTTATTTGTATTTTATTTATATGTTTACTTGTATATTGATAATTTTTGATATTTTTATTACACATAAATTGCATTTTATTGATATATTTATATATTTTAATATATATTATTTGTAATTTATTGATACATTAATCAATAATCAATTGTATTATTTTAAGTAAATATATCAATAAAATGCAATTTATGTGTAATAAAAATATCAAAAAATATCAATATACAAGTAAATATATAAATAAAATACAAATAATATATAATAAAATATATCCATAATTTTTATATAAAAATATATCATTAAAATATATCTCTATATAATTATACTGATAAAATACTACAATGTACATGTAATCAAAATACATCAATAAAATATATCAATATATATATGTAAGCATAAAAATAAAATACAATTTACGTTTAATAAATATATCAATAAAATATATCAACATGTAAGTAAATATGTCAAATAAAATGTAGTTTATATAAGTAAATATATCAATAAAATACAATTTATATATGCGCTAAGACAATTGTATTATAAATGTTTTGGGATACATATATTTTAATATTCCTCTGCCTGTGTGTGTTGTGTTTCCAGCTCTTTGAGGTCCGCCCGGTTTGGTCCCGGAACGCCGTCAAGGCCAATATCAGCATCCATCCAGACAAGCTGAAGTTCCTCCTGCCCTACTTGGCTTATTACATGGTGAGTCCTTGGTAGGCTTTGTCACGTACGTCCTTTGCATGGCCCGCATCCTGATTCTGTTCTGTTCTGTTCTTCTTCTCCCTCCACAGCTGACGGGCCCTTGGAGGAGCCTGTGGGTCCGATTTGGCTACGACCCCCGGAAGCACCCGGAAGCAAAGGTCTACCAGGTCCTGGACTTCCGGATTCGCTGCGGGATGAAATACGGTACAGAGGCCGAAGGGGCCCTCAAAGGCCACCCAGACCAGTCCCCTCTATGTCTATATCTGTCAGAATCCTAGATGGGCAACCAGTCCAACCTCCTACATGTCTATATCTATATTCATATCTATACCTATATCATTGCATCCTAGAGTTGGGAGGGACCCCCAAAGGCCATCCAGTCCAATCTCCTAGATGTATGTATCTGTATTTATATTGATATCTACTAGCTGTCCCCTGCCACGCGTTGCCGTGTCCCAGTCTGTTGATCTGGAAAATAAAGAAATGAGAAAGTGTTGGTTTCTAATATATGTAATTCCTTTATGCTTGTGAGTAAATAGTATTTCTTGTTTCTTTGTCAGTGTTGATGTGGAGATCTGGTGTTGATCTGGTTTGCCTACTCTGGAATATGCAATAGTCCTTCTTTAAGGGTCTCTTTCAAATCTATGATACTATATCTGTGTGTGTGAGAGAGAGGGAATCATATCTATCTATCTATATTTATGACTGGATGGTTCTTTGTCAGGAGGGCTCTGATTGCATGTTCTTGTCATGGTGAAGAGAGTTGGACTGGATGGCCCTAAGTATTTTCTGTTGGTCATGGGGTTCTGTGTGGGAAGTTTGCCCCATTTCTGTTGTTTGTGGGTTAGAATGCTCTTTAACTGTAGTGAACTATAAATCCCAGCAACTACAACTACCAAATGTCAAGGTCTATTTCCCTTAAACTCCATCTGTGTTCATATTTGGGCATATGGAATATTTGTGCAAGTTTGGTCCAGATCCATCATTGTTTGAGTCCACAGTGCTCTCTGGATGTAGGTGAACTACAACTCCCAAACTCAAGATCAATGCCCACCAAACCCTTCCAGTGTGTTCTGTTGGTCATGGAAGTCCTGTATGCCATGTTTGGTTCAATTCCATCATTGGTGGAGTTCAGAATGCTCTTTGATTGTAAGTGAACTATAAATCCCAGTAAGTACAAATCCCAAATGTCAAGGTCTATTTCCTCCAAACTCCATCTGTGTTCATATTTGGGCATATGGAATATTTGTGCCAAGTTTGGTCCAGATCCATCATTGTTTGAGTCCACAGTGCTCTCTGGATGTGGGTGAACTACAATTCCCAGACTCAAGGTCAATGTCCACCAAACCCTTCCAGTTTTTTTCTGTTGGTCATGGGAGCCCTGTGTGCTAAGTTTGGTGGAGTTCAGAATGCTCTTTGATTAGTAGGTAAACTATAAATCCCAGCAAAAACAATTCCCAAATGACAAAATCAATGTTTTTGAGTGGAGGACATAAATTGGACTGTTAGGTGTCTTGTGTCCAAACTTGGTGTCAATTCCCCCAGTGGTTTTTGAGTTCTGATGGTAGCACGAACATGACATTTTTATTTATATAGATTGTAGGATCCCAAACTTTGAAGAGGCATCCAAAGGCCATCCAGTCCAATCCCTTATATCTATATTGTAGGATCCTACAGTTGGAAGAGGCACCCAAAGACCATCCAGTCCAACCTCTCTACGTCTATCTATATAAATAAACATGTAATGTTCGTTTGTGGGATTAACATAACTCAGAAACCACTGGACGAATTGACACCAAATTTGGACACAATGCACCTCTCAGGCCAACGAGTGACCATCGCTCATAAAAACACTAAAAAACACGGCAGAAGAGACTTTAAAAGCCAAAAAAGTACATTACAATGCATGCGCAAAACCACATATATATACGCAAACACACATATATACACATATACACAAATATATACATGCGTATACACACACAAATCACATATACACAGACTGGGCCACAGCAATGTGTGGCAGGGGACGACTAGTATCTATATATTTCTGTATATCTATCATAGGATCCTAGAACTGGAAGAGGCACCCAAAGGCCATCCAGTTCAATCTTCTATATGTATCTCTTTGTATCTATATCTATCATAGGATCCAAGATTGAAAGGGGCACCCAAAGGGCATCCAGTCCAACCCCCTCTATGTGTATATTTACATCTATCATAGGATCCTAGAGTTGGACGGGTCCCCCATAGGCCGTGAATTCCAACCCCCTTCTGCCAGGAAGGAGGACACCATCAAAACCCTCCCAACAGATGGCCATTCAGCCTCATAGGCAGTAGATAGTTCATGGAGATGCGTAAGGCTATAGAATCAAAGTGTATTTCTGGCTTCTGCCTTCAAGCCAGAAATACACATTCTGATCCCTCCCAACAGATGGCCACTCAGCCTTAGAGACATGACTGGGGTCATGTAGAAATAGGGGTATGGAATCATGGGTTCCTAGAGTCAGAAGGGGTGCCCAAAAGGTGAAGAAGATAATAATAATAATAATAATAATAATAATAATAATAATAATAATAAGGCAGAATCCTCTTTCTGGCACCCAAAGAGTCCCTTCTTTCCAGGATGATGATGAAGAAGAAACAATAATAATAGGAATAATAATAATAATAATAATAATAATAATAATAATAATAATGATCCATATTGACCTTGTTTGCTGTGACATACTGTGCTTTTGTGACAATAATAATAATAATAATAATAGGACAGAGTCCTCTTTCTGGCACCCAGAGTTCCTTCTTTCCAGGATGATGATGAAGAAATAATAATAATAACAATAATAGTAATAATAATAATAATCCAGCATATAGATCTTGTTTGCTGTGGCATACTGTGCTTTTGTGTCAATAATAATAATAATAATCCAGCATATTGTTCTTGTTTGCTGTGACATACTGTGCTTTTGTGTCAATAATAATACGTAATAATAATAATAATAATCCAGCATATTGATCTTGTTTGCTGTGACATACTGTGCTTTTGTGTCAATAAATAATAATAATAATAATAATAATAATAATAGGACAGAGGCCTCTTTCTGGCACACAAAGAGTCCCTTCTTTCCAGGATGATGAAGAAGAAATAATAATAATGATAATAATAATAATAGTAATAATAATAATAATAATCCAGCATATTGATCTTGTTTGCTGTGACATACTGCGCTTTTGTGTCAATAATAATAATAATAATAATAATAATAATAATAATAATAGGACAGAGTCCTCTTTCTGACACCCAAAGAGTTCCTTCTTTCCAGGATGATGATGAAGAAATAATAATAATAATAACAATAATAGTAATAATAATAATAACAATCCAGCATATAGATCTCGTTTGCTGTGACATACTGTGCTTTTGTGTCAATAATAATAATAATAATAATAATAATAATAATAATAATAATAGGACAGAGTCCTCTTTCTGGCACCCAGAGTTCCTTCTTTCCAGGATGATGATGAAGAAATAATAATAATAATAATAATAGTAATAATAATAATCCATATTGATCTTATTTGCTGTGACATACTGTGCTTTTGTGTCAATAATAATAATAATAATAATAATAATAATATAATAATTCCTTGGCAGGATACGCCCCGAATGAACTGCCGGTGAAGGCCAAGCGCAGCACCTACAACTACAGCCTCCCCATCACCTTGAAGAAGCCAGGTAAGGTTTTGCCATAGAGAGACAGCCTGGAAAAAGTCCTTAAATCCATTTTCAGTGGGACAGGACCTCTCGGAGAAAGAAGTAGACTCACAGATCCAATGCTCACAACCTCTGAAGATGCCTGCCACAGATGCAGGCAAACCGTCAGGAGAGAATGCTTCTAAAACATGGCCATTCGGCCCGAAAAACCTACACCAAGCCCTATATTCCAGAATATCAAGGCAGAAAATCCCACAATACCTGCTTGGAGCTGGGTTCTCTTGAGTCCACACTCCAATAATGTGGGATTTCCTGCCTTGATATTCTGGGAAAGAGGACTGTGTGGATGCACCCTCGGATAACCCACTTTAAGGTACAAGTGTTGAATGAAAAGTAATGCCTCCCCCTTCACAACTCCTCAACAGATGGCAGTACTGGTATGCGGCAGGTACTGGCTTCTTCAGTAGACTCTCCTCTACAGTTCCATTTTGGCAGGAAGCTTAGCATTGAATGGTTGTGTTGTTAAAGTGTGAAGTATGGAACCCTGCGCGGACGGTCGGTCAATGCGACTTAAGCAACATGTAGTCATTGAATTCTTGACAGCAGAAGGTGTCACCCCAAAGGAGATTCATCAGAGAATGCAAGCTGTTTATGGTGATTGTGTTGATGTGAGTACTGTGCGTCATTGGGTGAGTAAGTTTAAAGATGTTGAGGTGGGAACATCTGACTTGTGTGACAAACAAAGAGTTGGATGTCCTGTGACAGCAACCACCAAGTTTCACAAGCAAAAGGTTGACAGGTTGATTCAGGACGAGCGTCGCATCACTCAGGGAGAAATTTCAAGCATAATTGGCATTTCACAAGAACATGTGGGTCACATTATTGCTTTGCTTGGCTATTGGAACATCTGTGGACGATGGGTTGCGGAAACAGGGTGTCAACTTCTGTGGCGGCTTCAGAACACTTGTTCATTGTTGGCAGAAATGTATTCAATTTTCTGGTGATTTTGTGGAAAAGTGAATAGTGGTAGTTAAAGAGCACATTCTAAGGATTATTTCTGTGTTTGATTTATTAAAATATTCCCATCAAGTAACGAAGGTGGAGGCATTACTTTTCATTCAACGCTTGTAGATATTGTGGGTTATTGTGCCTTCATATTGTGGCTTCTAGGGTTGTGTGGAAGGGCCCTGGGTTATCTGAGTCTACACTGCTATATATTCCACTTGAATGCTGGTAATGAGGGATTTTATTCAGGTGTGTGGAAGGGGCCTTGGATACAAACGCAACCAAAGAGCAAACCTAGAAGACTGGTTTTGTTCGTAGGTGGAAGGCTGCCTGTCATTCCCCAGGAGTGTCTTTTCCTTTCTCTTCCTAAAAGGCCTCAAGGCTATAAAGCTGCCCCCACCCACACGCACCACTCTCCGGACGCACTCTGTCGATGCTCAGTGGCAGCCTTGACCCACCCAGGCTCATCCTCCTCCTTGAAGCACAACCGAAGCACTTCTCACAGATGGCCATTCAGACTCCGATGGGAAGGGGAGGGGAGGGGAGGGAGGGAAGAGACAGGACAGACACCAGAACACAGGGCATGAATTTAAAACAGGCCGTGTCTTGAAAATTCCCTCTTTTTCCTCCATCTCCAGCCAGCCATTCGGCCGGCATCCAAGACCTCAAGCGAGGGCTGAGCTCCACCGGACCCTCCGGCGCACGGAAGCCGGCCTCCTGCAAATACAAGCTGAAAGTGAGTAAGTGGGGGCCTCTTTTCTGCATTTGAAGTAGAATCCTTCCCCTTCCCTTCTCTTCCTTTTTTCCCCTTTCTTTCCTTCTTTCTTTCTTTCTTCTTTCTTTCTTTCTTTCTTCTTTCTTTCTTTCTTCTTCTTTCCTCCCTCCCCTTCCTTCTTCCTTTCCTTCCTTCTTCCTTCTTCCTCCCTTTCCTCCTCTCCTCTCTTTCCTTCCTTCCTTCCTTCCTTCCCTCCCTCCCTCCCTCCCTCCCTCCCTCCCTCCCTCCCTCCCTCCCTCCCTTTTCCTTCCTTCCTTCCCCTTCCCTTCCTTCCCCTCTCTTCCCCTTCCCCTTCTTTCTCTTTCTCTTCCTTCCTTCCCTTTCCCCCCTTCTTTCTTCCTCCTTCCTCCCCCTTCCCTTCCCCTTTCCTTTCCTTCCCCTTCTTTCTTTCTTCTTTCTCCCCTTCCCCTTCCTTCCTTCCTTCTCTTCCCTTTCCCCCTTTCCTCTTTCCTTCCCCTTCCTTCCTTCCTGCCTTCCTTCCTTCTTCCTTCTTCCCCTCCTCCCCTCCCTCCCTCCCTCCTCCCCTCCTTTTCCTCTTCCTTCCCCTTTCCCTCCTTCCCTTCTTCCCTTCCCTTTCCTTCTCTTCTCTCTTTCCCTTTCCCTTTCCCTTTCCCTTTCCCTTTCCCTTTCCCGTTCCCTTCCCTTCCTTCCCTTTTCCCTTCCCTCCCTTTTTCTTTCCTTCCTCCCTTCCCTTCCCTCCTTCCCTTCCTTCCCTTCCTTCCCTTCCCCTTCCCTTCCCTTCCCTTCCTTCCTCCCTTCCCTTCCCTTCCCTTCCCTTCCCTCCTTCCCTTCCTTCCTTCCTTCCTTCCCTCCTTCCCCTTTTCTTCCCCTTCCTTCCTTCCTCCTTCTTTCTTTCTTTCTTTCCTCCCTTCTTCCTCTTCCCTTCCCTTCCTTCCTTCCTTCCTCCTTCCTTCCTTCCTCTCCCTTTCCTTCCCTTCCCCTTCCCTTCTCTTTCCCTCTTCCTTCCTCCCTCCCCTCCCTTCCCTTCCTCACCATGCAGACCCGTTCCCCTGCACCTTTCATTGTGCTTTCCCTGCAAGGCAAAATTAAGGGGGTTGGAATAGATGGCCCCTGGAGTTGCTCCTATGATTATTTGTTGTTGATGTTGTTGTTGTTATTGCAAAGGCTGGATCGTCCCTGAGATGATTGTTGTTGTTGTTGTTATTGTAAAGGCTGGATAGTCCCTGAGATTGTTGTTGTTTTTGTTGCAAAGGCTGGATAGTCCCTGGGATTGTTGTTCTTGCTATTGTTGTTATTATTATTAGGAAAGCAGGGAAAGGGAAGACCTTATTTTTTTCCCCTTTCCTATTGGAGGCGGCAAGGCCTGCACCTGATCCTGCTCTTGCCTGGCCTGGGAGGCCCACTGCCCCACCACGCCAGCACCACCTCCGATGGGAAATGGGGAAAGGGCAAGGCCTTGCCTTTCCCCCTTTCCTGTCAGAGGTGGTGCCGGCGTGGTGGGGCAGCAGGACTCCCGGGCCAGGCAAGAGTGGGGTCTGGTGCAGGCGCAGGCCTCCTGTGGCCTAGCTGCTTCTTCTTCGCCTCTGCCTCCTCAACCTCCATACTCTTCCCATGGGACCCCTGCAGAGTTTTTCCGGCTGCCCAGCCCCGGCGGAGGAGGCCAGAGCCGTGTTGAGGAGAAGAATTGAGCCCAGAAGGTGGAAGACGGCAGGGGCTGAGATAAAGAATTACGCGAGGCTGGGGGGAGGGGGGGGGAAAGGGAACGGCCTCGCCACGACAGGCCCCTTCCCAGCCTCTGTCAGGCCTGGGCCAACTTCAGCTTTCCGAGGGTTTTGAATTTCAACTCCCAATATTCCCTACTTTGCGGTTTTTCACTTATTGCAGGGGTTGCTGAAACATAACCCCCACAATAAGTGAGGGAACACTGCAAGGGAAAGACTGAAGACTGTTTTGTTGCAGGTTTGGATGCATGAAAGGTTGGGATATTGGCCTGTAAAGGTTAAGACCAACCAAAGTCAACCATTTTCTGCGGGCAAAGTGGTAGAAGAAACATTCTGTTGATAGAGAAGCTGGAAGTGCGTGCCTGCGTTGCTGTGTTGACGCCTCCCTTTCTCCATAGGACTCCGTCTACATCTTCCGCGAAGGCTCTCTACCTCCCTACCGGCAGATGTTCTACCAGCTCTGCGACCTGAACGTGGAATGGTAGGGATTCCGATCCGAGCAACCCCCCCCCCCCTCTATTGACTTGTCATAGCCAGCAGTTTGGTGGTTTTGGTTTAGCTGGTCCTCCCCCTCCTGTTTGCAAGCCATCCCACTCACAAAGGACTCACAATGAAAGACAATGCTGGACTGGATGGCCCCAGGGAGTCCTTCCAAATCTATGATCCTATATCTATCTCTCACATACATACACATACAGGCCGTCCCGAATTACAAACATCTGATTCACAAACAACTCCTAGTTTAGAACAGGGCTGAGATCACAGGAAGTGAGAGGAATTTTATTTTATATACTAGCTGTCCCCTGCCACGCGTTGCTGTGGCCCAGTCTATAAATCCCAGTAAGTACAAATCCCAAATGTCAAGGTCTATTTCCTCCAAACTCCACCTGTGTTCATATTTAGGCATATGGAATATTTGTGTCAAGTTTGGTCCAGATCCATCATTGTTTGAGTCCACAGTGCTCTCTGGATGTAGGTGAACTACAACTCCCAAACTCAAGGTCAATGCCCACCAAACCCTTCCAGTGTGTTCTGTTGGTCATGGAAGTCCTGTATGCCATGTTTGGTTGAATTCCATCATTGGTGGAGTTCAGAATGTTCTTTGATTGTAGGTGAACTATAAATCCCAGCAACTACAACTCCCAAATGTCAAGGTCTATTTCCCTTAAACTCCATCTGTGTTCATATTTGGGCATATGGAATATTCGTGCCAAGTTTGGTCCATATCCATCATTGTTTGAGTCCACAGTGCTCTGGATGTTGGTGAACTACAACTCCCAAACTCAAGGTCAATGTCCACCAAACCCTTCCAGTTTTTTCTGTTGGTCATGGGAGCCCTGTGTGCTAAGTTTGGCCCAGTTCCATCATTGGTGGAGTTCAGAATGCTCTTTAATATTAATATTAATAGTGTTTAATATTGTTATTTTTGTACTCTATTATTATTCTATTATTTAATATTATTGTAGTATTTTATTATTTATTATAATCTCGTTGTGCGCCTGCCTGCAGCCTGCAGGAGATTGTCCACCGGAACGACGGGGCGGAGGGGGCCGTCTGCTCGGAGCGCGATGGGTGGTGCCTCCCGCGGACCAGCGACAGCCTGCGCGATGCCATGTCGCTCATGATCAAGCAGGTCATCCGCGCCACACGGCCCGGTAAGCCAGGCATGCCCTTCTTGCACACTCCTGTTGCAGAGAGGGCATGAGACAGAAGGAGACTGTTGGATTTCAGCTTGTGATTATGTTTCAGGATCAGGGTGCTTTGGATGTGGGGAATGATGTTAATGAGGTTCAAGATGAGTTTCAAGATGGCAGTGGTTTGGTCAGTGATATTGATGCAGAGAATGACCGGGAGATCCCTGTAGTTTCCCATAAGAATGTCCCTGAGGGGTGTGGGGAGGCACCTGCAGAAATTAATGAGCAAATAGATAATGAGCCAAGAGATAGACAAGAAGAGTTCAGTCAAAACAGGAGGGCTGTGCAAAGGCTTAGGCCAGGGGTCCTCAAACTTTTTAAACTGGGGGCCAGTTCACTGTCCCTCAGACCGTTGGAGGGCTGGACTATAGTTTTTTAAAAAATCAATTAAAAATTCCTATGCACATTGCACATATCTTATTTTGCTGTGTGGAAGGGCCCTTAGAGGGGGTTCTTTCTAGCCCTCTTTAGGCAGTAATTCCAGGAGCAGAGAATGGGAAATCTTCCTATTTCTAGTCTGAACAAAATCTGGCTACCAGTATTAAAAAAACTCTAAAATTATAACTGTAAATAAAGAACAACACTCAAACACAGGGGAACTCCAGACAAGAAACAATCAGGGCCAGCTAATCACCTCTCAACAAAGGATTCTCCCTAAAAACTGTCAGGCTATGAAATGGTAATCAAGGTGGCCAATTGAAACATTCATACCTACCTCCAACAGACAAGAGTTCTTTCTCCCACCCTGGATCTTCCACAATTTTCCTAGTTAAAGGTTTTCCTCTGACACGAAGTCCAGTCGTGTCTGACTCTGGGGTGTGGTGCTCATCTGCATTTCTAAGTCGAAGAGCCGGCGTTGTCCGTAGACACCTCCAAGGTCATGTGGCCGGCATGACTGCATGGAGCGCCGGGGCAGCCTCCCTTGGCTGGCTCACGCTGCCCATCGGGCCTGACAGATAGCGTGAGCCTGCCAAGGGAGGAGCAGCACCACGCGGCCTACTTTTGCGTAAAGCACCTCGCAAGGTGCCCTTGGCTGGCTCACTTATCCAGCTCGCGGAGGAGGAGCGCCCCCCCCCCACAGTGCCCCTCTCTTGGCTGGCTCACGCTATCCGTCAGGCCCAATGAGCCAGCGTGGGGGGGGGGGGGGGCGCTCCTCCTCCGCGGGCTGGATAAGTGCCCTTGGCGGGCCGGACGTGGCCCGCGGGTCGCAGTTTGAGGACCCCTGGCTTAGGCGATCTGCCAGGCTTCGGCAGAAAACAAAGCCTCAACTAAAGAGAAACCAATTTCTGACCAATAGTGACCTAGCTAACGAGGGGACAAAAGTCTCAAGTTTGGGATGTGTAGTCAGATGAAGCATCGTTTGGAATCACGCCAAGTTCTTGCCCTTGTTTTATGGAAACCTTGCTTTGAAGTTTCATGCTAAGATATTTCTTGTTCATGGTTTTGGGTTCCTGGATTTCATGATTGCTTACCCAAGCCTCGGATCGATGTATTCCTGATTTTTTGGATTGTATTGGAGATGTGTGGATTTTGCTTTTATGGACATTGCTGAACTCTACCTTGGTCTAATTTGTTCCTGCTTATCTTCTTACCTAATTGGATTTATCTATTTCCTTAAAGTGCTTTTTACTTTGCTGCTTTTCACTTATCTATCTATATATAAAAAACTAGCTGTACCCGCCACGCGTTGCTGTGGCCAACCTTCCCCCTATCTCCCCTTCTTTCCCTCCTTCCTTCACTCCCTGTTTCCTTCCTTCCTTCCCGTCTTTCCTTCTCTCCTTCCTTCCTTCTCTATCGCTTTCCTTCCTTCCCCCTTTTTCTTTCTCTTCTGCTGTGTCTCTTTTCTTCCTTCTCTCTTTCCTCCTTTCTTTCCCTCCCTCTTTCTCTACATTTTATCCCCTTCCTTCGCTCCCTCTTTCCTTCCTTCTTCCTTTTTCTCTTCTGCAGTCTCTCTTTTCTTCCTTCTCTCTTTCCATCTTTCCTTCCCTCCCTCCTTTCTCTACATCCTCCCCTCCTCCTCTTTCCTTCCTTCCCTTTTTCTTTCTTCTTCTCCTTCCTTCTTCTCTTTCCTCCTCCCCCTTTTTCTTTCCCTCCCTCTTTCTCTCCTTTCTTCCTTTTCTACCTCATTCCTTCCTTCTTTCTTTCCCTCCCTCTTTCTCTCCTTTCTTCCTGTTCTACCTCATTCCTTCCTTCCTTCTTTCTTTCCCTCCCTCTTTCTCTCCTGTCAGGGGTGATTTGAATGCAATATTCCTGCTTCTTGGCAGAATGGGGTTGGACTGGATGGCCCATGAGGTCTCTTCCAACTCTTTGATTCTATGATTCTATGATTCTTCCTTGACAGATTAGAAGGGGGCGTGGCTTGGAGGTAACGTGAGGAGGGTAGAGGGAGGGGGGGTGGGTTTAGAAGGGGGCGTGGCTTGGAGGTAACGTGAGGAGGGGGAGGGAGGGGTGGAAGGGGGGTGGCTTGGAGGTAAGGTGAGGAGGAGGAGGGGAGGGGGGATGGGTTTAGAGGGGGCGTGGCTTGGAGGTAACGTGGGGAGGGGGATGGGTTTAGAAGGGGCGTGGCTTGGGGGTAAGGTGGGAGGAGGGGAGGGGGGATGGGTTTAGAAGGGGCGTGGCTTGGGGGTAAGGTGAGGAGGGGAGGGGGGATGGGTTTAGAAGGGGGCGTGGCTTGGAGGTAACGTGAGGAGGGTAAGAGGGAGGAGGGGAGGGGGGATGGGGGCACGCGCGCGCGTGTGTGCCGCGCGGGGGGAGAGGGGGCGCACACGCGCGCGTGTGTGCCGCGCCAGGGGAGTGAGGGGGCGCGCGGGCGCGCGTGCGTGTGCCGCACCGGAGGGGGGAGAGGGGGCGCGCGCGCGCGCGTGCCACACGGGGGGGGGGGGGGGAGGGGGCACGCGCGTGCATGTGTGCGTGTGTGCCACGCCGGGGGGGTGAGGGGGCGCGTGCGCGCGTGTGTGTGCATGTGTGTGTGTGCCACGCCGGAGGGGGGAGAGGGGGCGCGTGCGTGTGCATGTGTGTGTGTCGCGCCGGAGGGGGGAGAGGGGGCGCGTGCGCGCGCGTGTGCCGCGCCGGGGGGGGTTGTGGGTGCGCGCGCGTGTGTGCCGCGCCGGGTGGGAGAGGGGGCACGCGTGTGTGTGTGTGTGCCGCGCCGGGGGGGAGGGGCCGTGCGCGCGCGCGTGTGTGTGCCGCGCCGGGGGGGAGGGTGAGGGGCCATGTGTGTCCGCGCCAGGGAGTTTGCGCCAGTGCGCATGCTCAGTTGCTTTGCCGTTTATTGTGGTTGTTGTTGTGTGTTTATGATTTCTGAGTGGATTAGTTTGTACCTTGTTGGTTGCCCTTGGGGCATGGGAAGTTTGGTGGCGTTTCGTTGGGGGGTTTTTGAGTTTTGTTTCCTCATACGACGCCAGGAGGAAATTTATATATATAGATGCTCTGTGTGTAATGAGTACCTTAAAAACAAAAGAACCAATGAACGAAATCACACCAAATTTGGCAACAAAACATCTCACAACACAAGGAGTGACCATCACTCAAAAAATTATGATTTTGTCATTTGGGAGATGTAGTTCTTGGGATTTATAGTTCACCTACAATCAAAGAGCATTCTGAACTCCACCAATGATGGAATTGAACCAAAGGTGACACACAGGACTCCCATGACCAACAGAAAACACTAGAAGGGTTTGGTGGGCATTGACCTTGAGTTTGGGAGTTGTAGTTCACCTACATCCAGAGAGCACTGTGGACTCAAACAATGATGGATCTGGACCAAACTTGGCACAAATACTCCATATGCCCAAATATGAACACAGATGGAGTTTAGGGGAAATAGACCTTGACATTTGGGAGTTGTAGTTACTGGGATTTATAGTTCACCTACAATCAAAGAGCATGCTGAACCCCACCGACAGAATTGGGGCAAACTTTCCACACAGAACCCCCATACTTAAGGCCATCCAGTGCAACTTCTTTCACCAGGGCAAGAAAACGTAATCAAAGCCCTCCTGACAAAGAGCCATCCAGCCATAGATATAGATAGATATTTATGATTCACACACAGAGAGATATAGTATCATAGATTTGTTGTGTACTTTGTATACTGATTTGGTTGTAAACCGCTCTGAGTCGCCTACGGGCTGAAAGAGAGCGGTATACAAATGAAGTAAATAAATAAATAAATTTGAAAGCGCCAACTAGTGACTACTCATAAAAACACTGAAAAACACAGTGGAAGAGACTTAAAAAGCCAAAAAACAAAAAATACATTACAACGCATGCACAAAACCACATATACACACCAACACACACATATACACCAATATACACATACAAAATACATATACACAGACTGGGCCACAGCAACGCGTGGCAGGAGACAGCTAGTCTTCAATAAAATTCAATGTGTGGTGTTTAAAGTCAGAGGGTTATTCCTGTTCTGGAGTGCAACAGTGAAGATGACGTGGTTATGCAGATGATCCCTTGCTTGATTAATGTCCAGTTAGTCTATCAAACCACCCATAATATATTTTAACCGGAATGCTACTAATAGATGAACCTAGAATTGTGTAGCTGATGCTGTTTCCTTGCTTCTCGCAGCTCTCTTCACAAGCGCGGCTTCATCAGCTGCCGAAGCAGAAGGCAAAGAGCCGCTGGCCTTTGAGTCTGGAGAGGAGGAAGAAGAAGAAGAGGAAGAGGAGGAATTCAAGCCTTCGGACGGGAGCGAGAACGAAATGGAAACAGAGATCCTGGACTATGTCTGACGCCAAGGCGCTTCGTGTGCGAGAATGGACCCATCTACACTGACCATACAATCCAGTTTAAAGCAGATAATCTGGATTATATGGTGTGTAGATGGGTCCTTGTACTGATGGGACATTTGCAACGCCTTTCCTCTTCCATATATTTCATATGGGATTCATATTAGTTACAGATCAGTTGGGTATCTTTGCAATGCAAACTTGGCATCCTTTTGTTCCAAAAACTGTTGTTACCTAAACAAGTCTTGTCCTATTAAAAGGATATTAATCCAGTTTCTTTACATTTCTCGAGGCTCTGATTTGTAAAGGGCCCAAAGGCCATCTAGTCTAACCTCCTCCTATTTCATCAGTTCTCCAGTCTTTTAAGGGTCTGCAAGGGGGTTATCTGGTCCAAATCCCTTTTATTCTTTGACCCCTCCAGTCTGTAAAAGGGCCCCCAAAGGCCATCTAGTCCAACCCCTTTCATATTTATTGGCCTCTCCAAGCTCTTAAGGGCCACCAAAGGCTATCTAGTCCAATCCCTTTCCAATTCTTGGGTTCTCAAATCCTTTTAAGGGATCTCAAGGAGATTTTAATGTTTTAACATTTTATCCTGTACATTTGGCCCACCCTTTATGTTTGATTTTATTATGTTATTTTGCACTGTTTATTTCATTTTGTTACTTTATGTAATTTGTTGTATCCTGTACATGCGGCCCGCCCACTGTTATTGTAATTGTGTGTATTGGAATGTTTTTTATTTCTTTCCTCCTATGTAATTTTGATGATGTTGATTGTCGTTTATGTTTTTGTTTTATTTCATTGTAATGTTGTCCAGGCTTGGCCCCATGTAAGCCGCTTCGAGTCCCCACAGGGGAGATGATGGCGGGGTATAAATAAAGTTTATTCATCAGAAATATATGTTTCCTGGTTGTCTTTGGTAACCAGGGGCGGCTCGTCCATTACGCGAAGTAAGCGGTCGCAGAACACTTTTTTTTGCCAGGGGCGCAGAGGCGCCTCTGTAAATGCCCCTCGACCGCCACTTGAGGAGCGCCCCCTCAGCTCACAACAGCCCTAGCAGTCCGGGGGGAGCCTCAGCTTTCTTGCCTCACTGCCGGGCGATCCTCTTCCCAAAGGGGCCGGGCCCTTGAGCCTCGCCTAGCCCCTCTCGTTCCTGCTCCACCCGGCCACCGGGTGCGCGAGCAGAGCCGGCGCTCAATCGTTCTCCGCGTTTGATCCCTTCCCCATGACCGGCTCCCTTTCCTGATCCCCCGGCGCTCCACCGCCTCCTCTCCTCTCCCCAATCCGCGGGTGGGCCAAGGGGCGGAGCCGCCACGCCTGGCCCGCTTCGGGTCTGGAGGCGTGTCTGAAGACCCCAGCGTGCGCACCAAAAGTCGCCTCTTCTCCTGACTTTCTCTTCAGCCATTGGGACCAAGAGAGAGAGAGAGAGAGAGAGAGAGCCCCTCTGGCTGGAGGTATCTCCCTCCTTCAGGAAAGGTGGGCATCTCCACCTCTCTCTCTCTCTCTCTTGGTCCCAATGGCTGAGGAGAAAGTCAGGAGAAGAGGTGACTTTTGGTGCACACGCCGGGGTCTTCAGGCACACCTCCGGACCCAAAGCGGGCCAGGCAAGGGAGCAAGTGCGGCAAGTGTAGTTACTGGGATGTATAGTTCACCTACAATCAAAGAGCATTCTGAACTCCACCAATGATGGAATTGAACCAAATATGGCACACAGAACTCCCACGATGAACAGAAAATATATATCAATGGTTGGGGGGGGGGGGAAATACTGTTTGCTTACCGTTGAAAATTACCTAGGGCTGCCTCTGTGTCTAACTTTGCTGTATTATTTTTGGAAATACCGTATGTACTTGAGTATAAGCTGACCCGAATATAAGGCGGTGTACCTAATTTTACCACAACAAACTGGGAAAATGTATTGACTTGAGTATAAGCCGAGGGTGGGAAATGCAGCTGTTACTGGTCAGTTTCAAAGAGAGGGTCTGCTTATTTAGGTGGTTACAATGGGGTGTAAAGTGCATTGTTGATCTTAAAATGTTTACATCTATACAAATCAGGATGTAGTCTGAAAAAAAGCTGAGGAGGGAAGAAGAGCCGAGTGGGGAAGCACTCTCTTTCCTGATTCAAACTGATGAAGGAAAGGCAGCCATCCCACATCTCTCACCTGCCTCTTCCTCTTGTTGCGCGTTGTGTGCCTTTCCAAGCATTTACCAGCTCTCCTTTGATGTCTATTTCTCATCTTGCCCCCACCATTTGGAATAATAATAATGAGGCCAAGCCCAAGAGCACATTAGAATAACATTAAAACCCAGCTCTTTAAGCTGCTCCTCATAGGGCTTGTTCTCCAGACCCTTGATCCTTTGAGTCGCCCTCCTCTGGACACACTCCAGCTTGTCAACATCTCCCTTCAATTGTGGGGCCCAGAATTGGACACAGTGTTATTCCAGGTAATGTGGTCTGACCAAGGCAGAATAGAGAATGGGTAGCGTGACTTCCCTGGATCTAGGCTTCAAACTGCAGGAAGGATGATTCCTTCTGAACTTCTGACTGTGAGAGCTGTTCAGCAGTGGAACTCACTGCCCCGGAGTGTGGTGGAGGCTTCTTCTTTGGAGGCTTTTAAACAGAGGCTGGATGGCTATCTGTCGGGGGTGCTTTGATTACGATTGTCCTGTTTCTCGACAGAAAGGGGTTGGATGATGGCCCAGCAGGTCTCTTCCAACTCTAGGATTCTATGAAGGGCAAGTGTTGAACCTGACTCAGCACATAGAAGATGGCTTTGAAAGGCAGCAGATCACAGGAGCTGTCTTCATAGACCTGTCAGCAGCCTATGATACTGTGAACCACCGCCTCCTCCTGAGAAAAATGTAGAATATCACAAAGGATGACCACCTCACCCGCCTCATAGGAAACCTGCTACAAAACAGGAGCTTTTTTGTTGAGTTCCAGGGCCAGAGAAGCAGATGGCGGAAACAGAAGAACGGCCTGCCTCAGGGGAGCGTGCTTGCTCCATCCATGTTCAACATCTACACAAATGACCAGCCACTGCCAGAAGGGACAGAGAGTTTCATCTATGCTGATGATCGTGTCATTACCACTCAAGCAGGGAGCTTTGAGACTGTAGAACAGAAGCTCTCTGAAGCTCTAGGTGCTCTTACTGCCTATGACAGGGAAAACCAGCTGATTCCTAATCCATCTAAAACACAGACGTGTGCTTTTAATCTTAAGAACAGAGAAGTGTCTCAAGCTCTGGGAAGGAATCCCACTGGAGCATTGCAGCACACCCAAATACCTGGGAGTCACTCTGGACTGTGCTCTGACCTACAAGAAGCACTGCCTGAACATCAAGCAAAAAGTGGGCGCTAGAAACAATATCATACGAAGGCTGACTGGCACAACCTGGGGATCACAACCAGACACAGTGAAGACATCTGCCCTTGCGCTATGCTACTCTGCTGCTGAGTATGCATGCCCAGTGTGGAACACATCTCACCACACTAAAACAGTGGATGTGGCTCTTAATGAGACATGTCGCATTATCACGGGGTGTCTGCGCCCTACACCACTGGAGAAATTACACTGCTTAGCCGCCAGGAAGTAGCAGCCAATAGTGAAAGGACCAAGGCAGTGACATCTCTGGCTCATCCTCTGTTTGGGTATCAGCCAGCACGTCAACAACTTAAATCTAGAAATAGTTTTCTAAGATCTACAGAGGCACTTGCTGGAAAACCTCAGCAAGCGAGAGTCCAAAAGTGGCAGGCTCAAATCCAGAACCTCAACCAATGGCTGATACCAAAATGAGAGACACACAGAAAACTGGGCGACTTGGAAGATGCTGAACAGACTGCGCTCTGGCACCACGAGATGCAGAAATGGGGCTACAAAGTGGGATCCTCGACATGCGAGTGCAGAGAGGAGCAAACCACTGACCACCTGCTGCAATGCACCCTGAGCCCTGCCACATGCACAATGGAGGACCTTCTTGCAGCAACACCAGAAGCACTCCAAGTGGCCAGATAGTGGTCAAAGGACAGTTAATCCTACAAAGTGGAATCTTTGACATGCGAGTGTGGAGAAGAGCAAACCACTGACCACCTGCTGCAATGCAACCTGAGCCCAGCCACATGTACAATGGAGGACCTTCTTGCAGCAACACCAGAAGCACTCCAAGTGGCCAGACACTGGTCAAAGGACATTTAATCCACTACCAAACTCACAAAAACTGTATTTTGTCTGCTTGCTTGTTTGTTTTGCTCTGTTAGAAATGTAATATAATTTGACTGGTTGCTCTGACACAACAAATAAATATGAAGGGCTTCAGAGGGCTCTCTGGGCGCAGGGAGAACTACAACTCCCATGCATTTGGGTCAGCTATTGTTCCCAGGCCTCTTGTGTACAGGACCCTCTCCCTAAAAGGCTTCGAATGGCGTTGGATCAGAGTGGTGCCTCCATTCCCTCCCACGGTGGGAGGAGCCGGGTTGTCTCCGCCCCTTTCTCCAAGCGCGGGACTTTTAGCCAACCAGCGGCCGCGCTTTCTTCCCGCTCCACACCTCGTCCCCGTCCCCTGGTCACGTGGTGCGGACGAGGCTTTATAAGGCAGGGCACGGCGGAGGGCAGTCCTCTTTGCCTGCAGCCCGGCGTTCGAGGTGAGTCTGTGTCGGGCTTGGGAGGGAAATCGAGGCCCAGGCCTGGCGCCTCTTCCGGAAGACTAGGCCGCGGGCGGAGTGATGATGCCGAGAGAATTAGGAAGTGCCGTCAGATGCGAGAACTGACGAGACTGCCATCTCCGTCTGACCGCCCGGAAGGGAAAGATTACCATCAGAGGAACACAATACATAAAACTATAGTATAATTAGTTGAGTATTAATTATTAAAAATTATTTTGATTATTTTTAGTATATATATATATAAACTAAAAAGTCAAAATAATTTTTAATAATTTAAATGATCACATTATTAAATTAATTTAATAATTAATACTCAACTAATTAATCAAAAAGTAATTAATCAAAAATTATTTTGATTATTTTTAAATATATATAAACTAAAAACAGTCAAAATAATTTTTAATAATTTGAATTATTACATTATTAATTTAATAATTAATACTCAATTGATTAATCAAAAAGTAATTAAAATTATTTTGATTATATATAGTCAAAATAATTTTTAATAATTAATACTCAACTAATTATACAATAGTTTTATGTATTGTCGAAGGCTTTCATGGCCGGAATTACTAGGTTGTAGGTTTTTTTGGCCTATATGGCCATGTTCTAGAGACATACTCTCCTGACATTTTGCCTGCATCTATGGCAAGCATCCTCAGAGGTAGTGAGGTCTGTTGGAACTGGGAAATAGGGTTTATATATCTGTGGAATTGCTGGGGTGAGACAAAGGTCTCTTGTCTGCTGGAGCAAGGTGTGAATGTTTCAACTGACCACCTTGATTAGCATATAATGGCCTGACTGCGCCTGGGGCAAACTTTTGTTGAGAGGTGATTAGATGTCCTTGTTTGTTTCCTCTCTGTTGTTGTGCTGTTGTAATTTTAGAGTTTTTTTTAATACTGGTAGCAAATTCTGCAAAGGTGTTTAGAATGTGTTTAGAGAGTCCAAAAGTGGCAGGCTCAAATCCCACCTTGCCCCACCTAGCTGCAGCAGGGAAGAGCTCCTTGCCCCACCCCAGCCATTCCACAGATATATAAACCCATTGTCCTAATTCCAACAGACCTCACTACCTCTGAGGATGCTTGCCATAGATGCAGGCGAAACATCAGGAGAAATGCCTCTAGAACATGGCTCTATAGCCCAAAAAAACCCACAAGAACCTAGTGATTCCAGCCATGAAAGCCTTCGACAATACAGTGTTTAGAATGGCTTGTAGATCTTCTGAATGTGCACAGACGACATTGTCATCAGCATACTGGAGTTCTATAATAGAGATACAACCCTAGGCCTTGGGATGGGATAGATCTCAAAGCCATACTGGTAGCCAGATTTTGTTCATTTATACCAGGGGTCCACAAACTTTTTGAACAGAGGGCCAGATCACATTCCCTCAAATGGTTGAGGGGCCAGATTATAATTTGAAAAAAAAAACATGAATTCCTATGTATGCTGCACATATCTTATTTGTAGTGTAAAAACACTTTAAACCAATACAATAATTAAAATGAATAATGTTAACAAATATAAACTTATTAGTATTTCAATGGGAAATGTGGGCCTGCTTTTGGCTGATGAGATAGTGTTGTCGTTGTGTGCTTTCAAGTCATTTCAGACTTAGGTTGACCCTGAGCGAGGGCCAGGTAAATGACCTTGCAGGGCCGCATCCGGCCCCTGGGCCTTAGTTTGAGGACCCCTGATTTATACTATAGTTTTATTAAAAGCGTGAAAAATAAAATTTATAGTTTTATAAAATAAAAATAATGTATTAATTATTAAAAAATAATTAATATTCAACTAATATAATACAGTTTTATTTAGAACTTTAAAAATGAAATATATTAATATGTAATTTATAAAAATTCAATAAAAGAAAATATTTTGGTCATGTCAGGAGTGACTCCTGTTGTGAGAGAATTGGCCGCCTGCAAGGACATTGCCCAGGGGACGCCTGGATGATTTGATGTTTTTATCATCCTTGTGGGAGGCTACTCTCATGTACCCGCATGAGGAGCTGGAGCTGATAGAGGGAGCTCATCCGCCTCTCCCCGGATTTGAACCTGCAACCTGTCGGTCATCAGTCCTGCCGGCACAAGGGTTTAACCCACTGGGCCCCGGTGGGGTCCTAAAGAAAGTATAAGTAAAATACATGTTTCGAGGCATTCATCAAAATAATTATTACTTATTTTTAATAATTAATACTCAACTAATATACTATAGTTTTATTAAAAACTTGAAAAATAAAATATATAGTATTATAAAATAATAATAATTTATTAATTATTAAAAATAATTATTCAACTAATATAATATAATTTTATTTAAAACTTTTAAAATGAAATATATTATTAATATATAGTTTTATAAAAATACAATAAAAGAAAATAATTATAAGTAAAATACATGTTGTGTCGAAGGCTTTCATGGCCGGAATCACTGGGTTGCTGTGAGTTTTCTGGGCTGTCTGGCCATGTTCCAGAAGCATTCTCTCCTGATGTTTTGCACACATCTATGGTAGTTTTAATCAGTTTGTTTTTTAATCATTACATGTAGCTTGCCCATTGTTACTGTGCCTGTTGTAATTTTTACATTGTTATGTATCCATATGTTTTATGTATTTATGATGTTAAATGCTAATCAAGATGGTCAGTTGAATCATTCACACTCCAGCAGACAAAGTCCTTTCTCCCACCCTGGTCATTCCACAGATATATAAACCCATTTTCCTACTTGCAACAGACCTCACTACCTCTGAGGATGCTTGCCATAGATGCAGGCAAAACGTCAGGAGAAAATGCCTCTGGAACATGGCCATATAGCCCGGAAAACCTACAACAACCCTATGATGTTATTGTTTGCGTTTTCGGTTGTGTCTTGGTTTTCTCTTGTAATAGTTGTTTCGGGCTTGGCCTCATGTAAGCTTCTCCGAGTCCCCATTGGGGAGATGGTGGTGGGGTACAAATAAAAATTATTATTATTATTAGGCATCCTCAGGTTTGTTCAGAGGTCTGTTGGAAACTACGAAAATTGGGTTTATATATCTGGAATGATGTCCAGGGTGGGAGAAAGAACTCTTGTCTGCTTGAGGCAGGTGTGGATGTTGCCATTGGCTACCTTGATTAGCATGGAATGGCCTTGCAGCTTCAACGCCTGCCTGGGAGGTATTAGCTGGCCCTTATTGTCTTCTCGAAGGCTTTCGTGGCTGGGATCACTGGGTTGCTGTGAGTTTTTTGGGCTGCCTTGCTATGTTCCAGAAGCATTTTTTTCCTGACATTCTGCCCACATCTATGGCAGGCATCCTCAGAGGTTGTAAAGTCTGTTGGAAACTAGGAAAATGGGGTTTATATCTCTGGAATGATGTCCAGGGAGGGAGAAAGAACTCCTGCCTGAGGCAGGTGTGCATGTTGCCATTGACCACCTTGATTAGCATTGAATAGCCTTGCAGTTTCAAAGTCTGGCTTTTTATTTCCTGGGGAAACCCTTTGTTAGCAGGAGAAACACAATTGATTCCTGTCTGGAATTCCACTGTTTTCTGAATGTTGTTTTTTGTTTGTTGTCCTGATTTGAAAGGGTTTTTTTTAATACAGAGAGCAATTTCAGTGTTAAAAAAAAAACCTCAGATCAGGACAATAAACATAGAGGAACACTCAGAAAACTGGCATTACAGATTGGGATCAATCAGGGCGAGGTAACAAGTGATCAGATTGTGTGGCTGTTAGCTGCCTTCAGTCCCCAGTAAGAAGAAAAGTAGAATCCCTTGCAACTCCCTATTTCCTGTGGAAGCCATTGGTCCCACCCAATCTCTAGCTTTAATTCTTTACTTAATTCCAATATTATTAATTTATATTTAATTCTATATATCAAATTACCGATATATAGAATTTCATTTTTTTTTCTGCCTAAATGCAAGAGACTCTACTTAGGCAGAAAAAAATGAAATGCAAAGAGAATGAGTACGATGCGTGACTCAAGAGCAGTACATGTGAAAAACATCTTGGAGTCCTCGTGGACAACAAGTTAAACATGAGCCAGGAATGTCATGCGGCAGCAAAAAAAGCCAATGGGATTTTGGCCTGCCTCAAGAGGAGCCTAGTACCTGTGTACCTGCCACCTTGAGAACAAAAGGAGAGTAATCAATAATAATAAAATACGCTTTGCATATATTAAAATGTATACAGAACAAAGATTTAAATCCAGGCTATACAATACATTAGTTTTTGTAAAAGAAACATGGTAATAATTATTAATAAAATATATTTCTATGGTTATATATACTAAAATGTACACAGAACAAAGATTTAAATGCAGGGTACACAATACATTAGTTTTTAAAAATTCATGGTAGTAATAATAATCGATGCTTTTTGTTGCAGGTTTTTCTCCTTTCCTGAGCCTTGGAAGCAGCCAAAAGGTAAATAAATGCATGCGCTTCTGAAGCTGAACTGCAATGTGGACAGAGGGGGATTGTGATGAAACCAAACCTACAAAGCTGGAATTACCGGCAGACTCTTGCTGTTGAGAAGGTTTTCTCTGAGTCGCCCCTTTTCTCACTCATTTATCCTTTACTTCCATTATTTCTCTTGCTAACCTTTGCATGTCTTTCCCCTTTGCAGGTCTCTGCATCTGCGCCATGAGCCCCTGCTATCAAAGACAGGTAAGGCTCGCTAAGGAGGGCGACTTCGGAAGCTTGAAATGGTTGAAATAAAATATACATATATATAAAAAAATAAATGCCTTATTTGTGTTTTGTTTATATATATATACTGTAAATTCTTGACTTACGAAATTATATATATAATAATAAACTTTATTTCTATCCCACCCTTTCTCCCCATGGGGACTCTGTTTGTGTGTATGTATGGCAGGGGTTTGGACAAGTTGACCGAGGTCTCTTCAAACTGAATGATTATTTTTATATATATGTATCTGGAGACATCTTGCCTCTCCATGCTCACAGGAGAGAAAAAGAGGCAGTTCTGCAGATTAGAAGCTTCCAGGGCCAGCAGTAGAGCCATTGAGCTCCAGCAATTAGATAGGTAGAGGACATCACAATATTCATCTATCTCTTGGGAGACACCTTGCATCTCTCCATGGTCACAGGGAAAGAGCAAAAGAAGCAGTTCAGCAGGCCAGAAGCTTTAGCAGTAGAGCGATTTGAGCTCCAGAAATAATTGACAGGAACACAGTTTTACAAATTTATAAAATACACTTAATTCATACAACTACATAACTAGATAGGAAAGTAAGAGGGCATCTTACTCTCCATGCTCACAGGAGAAGAGCAAAAGAGGCAGATCAGCAAATCAGAAGCTTTTAGTGCCAGCAGTAGAGCCATTTATCATGTCAGAAGTGAAATGAGGACATTATACTAAATATCCTTCAGCCAGAAGCTGGCCACTTGGGAGTGCCCTTCGTGTGGCTGTAAGAAAGTCCTCCATTGTGCATGTGGTAGGGCTCAGTCTGCATTGTAGTCTGTGGTTTGCTCTTCTCCGCCGTGGACTCCACTTTGTAGCCCCATTTCTGAAGATTGGCTCTAATCCTGACTCCCTGGACAAGTTGCCTGGACTTCTGTATGCCCAGGGGGGAGTCTCATTGAGTAGAGCCACTGAGTGCCAGAAATTCACAAGAGCTTGAAAAGTTAGAAAAGACTATCCAGAGAACTACACAATAATATAGGAAAGTAAGGAGTCTATTATTTATTTATTGATATTTTTATGCCGCCCTTCTCACACCGAAGGGGACTCGAGCTCAGCCCAGAGGCGACTCAAGAGTGGTTCAGAAACTGCTGGATATGCAGATGATCTTGTGTTTAATGTAGAATATCAGTATTAAATATTTATATATTGTACTATACCATTGTATTGTAATATAAGTAATATTACATGTATTATAAATATATAATTATATTATTAGTATTATATTGCATTACATCTATATATATAAAAATGCTCTGTGCATAATGAGTACCTTAAAAACAAAAGAACCAATGAACGAAATCACACCAAATTTGGCAACAAAACGTCTCACTACACAAGGAGTGACCATCACTCAAAAAATTATGATTTTGTCATTTGGGAGTTGTAGTTGCTGGGATTTATAGTTCACCCATAATCAAAGAGCATTCTGAACTCCATCAACAATGGAATTAAACCAAAATTGGTACACAGAACTCCCATGACCAACAGAAAATACTGAAATGGTTTGGTGGGCATTGACCTTGAGTTTTGGAGTTGTAGTTCACCTAAATCCACTCAAACAATGAAAGATCTAGACCAAACTTGGCACAAATGCTCAAATATAAACACAGATGGAGTTGGGGGAAATAGACCTTGACATTTGGGAGCTGTAGTTACTGGGATTTATAGTTCACGTGCAATCAAAGAGCATTTTGAACCCCAGCCATGATACAATTGGGCCAGACTTCCCACACAGAACCCCCAAGATCAACAGAAAATACTGTTGTCTTTAGTAACCCTTCTGACACCCCCTCATGACCCCCCACCCCAGGGGTACTGACCCCCAGGTTGAGAAACACTGTAATAGAGGATAACATCGGAATCACTAGACTGGGCCTCAGCAACGTGTGGCAGGGCATGGCTAGTTTTGATATAGATATATGCATACACAATATAGTATTAGTATAGCACAGGAGACAAGGTGGAACTGTCTTCTGGCCCCCTCTCTCTTCACTCTGGCCCAGAGCGGCAGTTGGTACTGGAGGAAGGGGTCCCCAACTGATGACATAACGATTAAAATCTATATATCTAAGTATCTCGGGAGACATTTTGCCTCCATGCTCACAGAAGGAGAGCAAAAGAGGCAGTTCAGCATTTATTTGCTTCATTTATACCCTGCCATTCTCATCCCGCAGGGGGCTCATGGCAGCTTAACACTACAGCAAAAATTCAATGCCAGTAAAAACCAACAAAAGCATCCCCACAATTAATAATTAAAATGATTCACAGTTCATAAAACCATAAACAACTAAAACAGTGCATAGTTGATAAACCAACGACATTAAATCAATCACGGGATCATCTGCATATCTATGTTATCGTCTCCTTCAGTCTCACATCTTCCAAGTGCCAGCAGTTGAGCCATTGAGCTCCAGCCATTCACAAGAGCTTGAAAAGTTAGAAAATACTTTATTGAAAGAACTGCACAACAATATTAGGAAAGAAAAGGGCCTATCGATCTGTCTCTCAGGAAACATTTTGCCTCTCTTCATGCTCACGGGGAGAGCAAAAGAGGCCGTTCGTAGCAATTGGTTTCAAATATATGGATATACCAACTGTTCGTGAAAGGGTCATCTGCATATCCATGCCATCATCTCCTTTGGTCTCACCTTAGTGCCAACAATAGAGCCATTTGAGCTCCCACAATTTGCAGGAGCAGAGCTAAGCTTGAAAGGGTATACAATACATTTAACTATACAACAATATAGGAAAGTAAGGGGCCTGCCTATTTAATCATCTCTATAGACATCTTGCCTCCATGATCACAGGAGGGAGAGCAAAAAAGGCAGTTCTGCATTTGGGTTTATAGGATTTGGGTTCAAAAATACCTTTATTCCTTTAATTCTGTATTTGTATACCGCCCTTCTGAGCCCTTAGGGGGAGAGCAAAAGAGGCAGTTTGTAGCAATTGGGTTCAAATATATGGTTGGTTTGATATACCAACTGGTCATGAAATCAATCACGGGATCATCTGCATATCCATGTCATCATTTCCAGTCTCACCCTCCAAGCTTCTAGTGCCAACAGTAGAGCCATTGGAGCTCCAGCAATGTGCAGGAGCAGAGCCAAGCTTGAAAAGCAGGCTATACAGGGTGAGGCAGCATAACTTCCTTTTTTCAAAACTTAATAAAACCCATTGTATGAATCAGAATTTCTTTTTATAATGTAGGTGCATACCTAAAGTTTTGTTTTATGTAGTTTTGAAGATCAAATTAGGTAGGTGACATCCCCTGTGAAGTCTCGGCCTAGTATTTCCCTGTTTGCTTTCTTGCCTGTGGACTGTTCCATTTTGCTAAGTTTAGGGGAGAAGCTTAAGTTCCCCCTAGAGGCCGAGCTCGGTTGGTGGAGCCCATTCTGACTCAGAGCCAGAATGGGCTGGTGAAAGAACCTTTTTTCCCATTCTTTTCGGACAATAGCTTATAGTTGGTTGCCAGAAAGTGTCTGGTCTGGCTTGCAGTCCAAACAGGCCATCCTTAGCACATTCATGCCCCAGAGTTCATAGACAATACATGCCATAACTTATAGTTATACATGCCTTAAAGTTTATAGATTATAGATTAGAATTGTACCATCATAGAGAGTTCTTACCTCATAGTATATAGTTTTGTTTTTTACCTCAGAGTTGTACCTTATACCTGTTCCTTATTCTAACTATATCATAATCAAACTGCACCTCGGTATACCTTGTTGGATTCATCTTGATTGTTTAGTAAGCTCAATTGTTTGAATTTAGTCTTGTTTGTAGAGTTTTATTTTGGGGGAATTACAGTATTTATGGAGCCCCCGGTGGCGCAGTGGGTTAAAGCTTCTGAGCTTGTTGATTGAAAGGTCGCAGATTCGATTCCGGGGAGCGGCGTGAGCTTCCACTGTCAGCCCTAGCTTCTGCCAACCTAGCAGTTAGAAAACATGCAAATGTGAGTAGATCAATAGGTACCGCTCCGGCGGGAAGCATGCAAATGTGAGTAGATCGATAGGTACTGCTCCGGCGGGAAGGTAACGGCGCTCCATGCAGTCATGCCGGCCACATGACCTTGGAGGTGTCTACGGACAACGCTGGCTCTTCGGCTTAGAAATGGAGATGAGCACCACACCCCCAGAGTCAGACATGACTGGACTTAATGTCAGGGGACTACCTTTACCTTACAGTACTTATAGGGCATACCGATGGTCGCTGGGAAGATAGACACATTTAGTTTTCCCTTAATCTTCCCCCATTCTCCATACACTGAGTAAACCGATTTCTGGCGTTTGCCATGACTTGCTAGCATAGCAGGCGTTATGTTGGCAATTTCTTCCTGGATGTTGGTCTTCAAATCTTGTAGAGTCATTGGACAATTCACAGGATTTCAAAAAACCCCATAGAAAAAAAATCACAGGGGGCCAAATCTGGAGAGCGGGCCGACCATTCCAAATCCACTCAAAAAGTAGGCCTCAGCGGCAAAAGCATGCTCCTCACTGTTCCAACGCATGATGATGACTGAACTGTGTCAGGACAAAACTTTATACTCCTGCCTCATGAACGAGACCACTAGCGCTCCGCTACGTCTTCAACCAACTTTTAAAAAGGAAGTTATGCTGCCTCACCCTGTACAATACTTTTTAACTACACGACAATATAGGAAAGTAAAGGGCCTGGCTATTTCATGATGTCTCGGTAGACATCTTGTCTCCATGTTCACAGGAGGGAGAGCAAAAGAGGCAGTTCTGCATTTGGGTTCAAATACCTTTATTCCTTTCAAGTTTATTCCTTTAATGGTTTGATACACCAACTGGACATGAAATCAATTACAGGATCATCTGC